CATAGAAGCATGGGGTCAATTGCATTGTGATTCTTGACCTTTGACCTTGAATATTTTTTCAAGGTCAAAGGTCAAGGTCATTCTTTTTTTTTTTTTTTCATTTTTTCTATTCTTTAAGAGAGTTCTGGTTTCTTTTTCATGGTATTTAATTTTTAGGAGTCAGGTATAAAACAAATTTAAAATTAAAAGAAGGTGGAAAGACCTCTTATTGTTCTGTGAACAATAAGTCTCCTAGTTATAATTATTTTTCTTTTTCCTGGGAAAATTTTGTAATCGAGTGATCTTGTAAACTACACATCCGACTAAGGTAAAATGTTTTAGGATCAGTAGACATGTTATGTAGATTTGCTGAACAAAGGTCATTTTGCGCGCACGTGCTTGCAAGAGCGCGCACGTGCAACACGTGAAATGACCATTTTAATTAATTTTGGCGTAACTTTTTACATTTTTGATGAAATGCTTTAAAACTTATGATATATGGATATATTATGACATTGTCAAAATAGCAAGATCTTACGCGCATGCACGTGCGCTTCGCTCTGATGTCTGAAACTAAAGTCTCTATATCTTTCTTGTTTTTCAACGAAATCCTATGAAATTTTGAACATAGCCATGCATTAAGATATCCAACAACATGATATATAGCAATTATCAGGAAAACACGTGTATACACGTGCGCTGCAATCTGATTGGCTTAAACGTTAAACAGCTATAACTGCCTTGGTTTTCAACCAAAGGTGGTGGAATTTAGAACATAGATAGATGTAATGGACTTCTACAAGAAGATATGGTCACCATGCAATGCAAGCAAGTGCGTGTACGTGCGCTGTAATCTGATTGGCTGAAACTTTATACAGCTATAACTCCCTTGGTTTTCAACCAAACGGGGTGAGATTTAGAACATAGATTGATTTAATGGACTTCTACAAGAACATATGGTCACCATGCTCATGTATGCACGTGAAATAAGGTAAATCAAATATACAATTGAATGAGCGTATTTTTTAATACTTTTGGATTCAATTCTTTAATATTTAGTACATAAAAAATATATAGATTGTGTAGACAACATGATATGGTCATTACGCACATTACTTTTACTTGCATAATCTTTATCTAAGTACAGTAGTTTATTTCATTGAACACACATTTCATCAGATAAATCTAAAAGAATTCTACGGGGGAGGGGGTGTTTTCTGTTAAGATATATCTATAAAAATATAAAATAAGCAATTATAACACGAATGATTTATAAACGTAGAATTAAAGAACCTTCCGTCGTTAACAGCATCCCCCCTTTTTCTGTGCTATATTTACATTCAAGTAAAATCATGTCAATAAAAACAAATACACTGTACTGAACACTTCAATATTCAAAGCAACCTTACACCTTTGTCACGTTTCGGGGTGCATATAAACTCGCACAAACTTTGAATGTATTAATGCAACGAAGTAGATGAATATTGAGTTTGAATTTCATTTACAGCTTACCAGTAATGTGATATTTATTATTAAGAATCCTTATGAAGTATAATACTTGTGCTTTTATTATTCAACAACTGTTTTGAAGTGATTATACACATGTCTATTAAGCGATTTGTACACTCCATATGCATATACTTTAAACAATAATCTGATCGATAAGTAAATCGATATATTCATTGCAGAATTTAGAGCAAAATTATGAAATATATACAAGTCAGACATGTAGTATCAGGAGGAGGGGTGGCCCCTTCTTTTCAGAAATAAATCTTAAATTCCCCCCCCCCCCCCCCGCCCCGCCGGGAAAAACAACTTTCTTACGCCTTTAGCTGGTACATGTACGATATGAATAAACACACATTGAAATTGGTGTTTTATTTTTCAAATTTCAAATAAAAGTTTGACTCCCACTCCTACATAATCGATTTTTTCAGGTTTGGAAGAGTTTACTCTTTTTCCTTTGCTTTACCAGACTTTTGTTCAGGTCTATTGTTTATTTATTCTAAGCTACATATGTACCCCTTTACAAAGGAAAGAGGAGGTGTAATGAATTTCTCTGTGTATTTACCGTAATTTATTATTCGATCGCTTGTACTTTTTAAATTGTCATAAGGAAGAAAATCAATAAAGTGGTTAATATATCTTATAGATGCATTTATAGATTAAAATAAAAAAAAAATATTGGGGGATTTTCAGACCAAAAATACCTCAAGAACAAAAAAGAAGACCCCTAACCCACGCCAAATTGAGAAGAATACGAATAGTGCAAAATTTGTAAAATAAAATTCAAGCTTATTGAATATTATTCTAACCCGCATATTGTTTATTATCTCACGCTACAGCTCACCATGTCTTTCTTTATATAGTACCTAATTTAAATGTCTCCGCCCATGTGTATGTAATAGAGAAACCGTGCTCTGTTCGAAAGAAAATGTTTTGGAATTTTTATGTGCGGTAGGTGTTGAAAATTGGCTTTTATTTCTTGATGCTCAAAATCATCAATAACGATTGTACAAAATTTTGATAAGAAACACTATGTTGTACACCATTAAAATAAAAATTATACCATATCCTCAAGTATAATCTGTAAAAGAAGGGCGAAAAAAGGGACCACGCTACCATACTTAAGTGGAAAACTCCTTTGGGATTCTCAGCACTTTTTTCGTCCATTAGTGCATATGTTGATACTTATTGATGAGAGATCTTCAATTATATCAACATTTTTTACCTTGACTTTCCCTTTGACCTTTTGACCTCACTTTTCTTAGAATAGTGTCAAACTTCATATGCTAATACATACTGATGCAAGCAATTCAACTGCATCAACATTTTTTTTACCTTGACCTTCATTTGACTTTGACCTCACTTTAATCAAATTGGTTTAAGTCAGTTTTGAATAAATTATTCACAATGTTTTTTTTTTTTCAGTTGCATAAACGTTTTTGACCCCTGTCATTTCCTTTGACCTTAAACTCACTTTAAAGAAATAAGTGTCATACTTCATATGCTGGTACACGCTAATGTAAGCAATTTAACTGCTGACTATTCAAGATATTCTGATCAAATTTCATACAGGTATAAAATTTTTCATGTTGCATTTTTTATATACCTTTGGCGGGGCATTCATGTCCTATGGATATATTTCTAGTTTTTAAATGATTGATGACCATTTATTCATTTAATTGTAGAGAGAACTTCATGTTGGCCAGAGAAAACTTTTAATGAAAAACTGGAACAGCTCAAAGAAAGCGAGGACTATGAGTTTCGAATCCAAAAACTAATAAGTTTTATGAATATTGAAACTTATAATCTTTACTCAAATCAACGTGATCACGTGGAAAACAATGACTTTAAGGACATCGTTAAGAGAGTAGATTACCTTGACTGTTCAGGTCTTCAGATTACTGATGCTGAAAAGCAGAGTAAAAGTTTTGAGCCGTTCTCTCAATCCAGTGTTGAGGATTTTCTTGAATGGATGACAGACTTTAACAAAGTCTTCAGAAAGACACAGTCTCCAAAATGTCGTCTCATTTTATCTCTCCTTTTCTCTGAATATACAAAAAAAGCAATGCTAGAATTTAAACCAAAAGACCTTTCATTAATTATTTATCCATGCCTGGAATTCGCTATTGAAAATCAAAACCACATATTGATTTTAGAGATTGTGAGGTCGTACCTAATTGATTTTGATTTTCATTTGAGTAAACTGTTTAAAGACAAGAAAAGAATTTCTTCTTTTATGGACACTTTTTTGACCACAGCGAAATACAGAATTTTAAGAGAATGTCCAAGACTTCGACAAAATGCAATCAGACTATCGTTCTGTAGTGAATGTAGTAAGGAAAGTAGGCTTGTGATCATGATGTCATACAAAGGTAGCATAGAAACGAAAGACAGAATTCTGGAAAATCTCATGGGGGTGAATCTGGTATTGTATAACTATACTCAACCATCTGATGAAGGATATACTGTCTTCAACTCCTCTTCTGCTTCTTTCTCATCAAGTAACGTGCCTGTTATACCAGAAAATGACGCAAGAAAACTTTTCAAGAAGCATTCCAACCTTACTCTGATATCGGCATCTCCATATAAATCATCAGGATATTTCAAAGGAAAACATGTCATTGTCGAAAAACACTGCATAAGCCTTTTGTGTTTGCATAAAGGCTACATTCCTTTTGGAGAACGACAGTTTCCTAAACAAATTAATGGCTTTGACGTAGATGTTCAGGAGGGATATTGTTCTTTAGGAAGTGATAGATCTATAGATTTTGGAGGACATATTCGTCGTGCCAAGAGAATAAATACTCCTGGACATGGAAGCATCGGGGGTTTTGTTGATTGGCCAGGCGATCCAAGGAATCCTAATGGAAATACAGTTTGTCTAATAACCTGCGCTCATGTCGTGTTTTCTACAGAAGAACTGAAAATGTCTCGGGAGGAACTCAAAGATAAACTGAATAAAAGCAGTGATTTTGAGGTTGAGGTTTTTGATAAAAACCAGCATAAATTTCAAGTGTGTGGACATATTGTTGATAAAGATTTCATAGGAAGGCGCTCATTCATCCACAATTCCGTTGACGCAGCTTTGATCAAACTTGACCCAACTTTAAAGGAGTTTGGGTTCCCAGTTACTCAACCAAACCAGTTATACTCAGCAGGTATGTTACCCATGTTAACCCCACTTTGTCTATTCTATCATTGTATTCTATCATTGATTGAACTTAGGGGAATATTATCTCAACTTTATTGTTAGTTTCCATTTTTAAACCATAATACTTTAATTTAATTTGTAACACGTCATTTGATTGATTAAAAGGTTTTATCCATTTTGTATAACATAACTTGCCTACGTCACAATGAGTTACATCAAAAATGTATTACTCCGCTTGCCGTTGACTTTTAAAATAAGCAAAATCTAAAGCCTTTTTCCGAAGGAAAAATGGAAAAAGTGTCTTATTGTTTACATTGAAATTAAATTATAAGGAATGAAGCTTCTTTCAACTTATATATTATACGTAATAACAAAACTTGGGGCATGCAGCTTACGCTTTTTTATAAACCGCTTCTCTGTTTATAAAGCGTTAACTACCCCAAGTTATGTTATATCATATAACATAAGTTGAAATAAGCTTCATTTTTTAATAGTGATGGGAAATCGGAAAAAAATCATAATCGATTATAGATAATAATCGGCTGGGCATAATCGATTAATAATCGATTATATTCGAAATTTTAAACATTAATAAAATTAATATAGAAAAGTTAAGACTTATTCAGATTTCTGTTAGACTTTTACAAAAAAAAATTTACTTACATAAAATATTCAAAAATGTTAATTGAAATTTCTTTTTTAAAAAGTGGAAAATAGTATTTTGTTTACCTTAAACAATATACATATAGGACTATTGAAAAAAGAATGGGAATTCATTTTTTTCACAAAGTCCAAGCAATGGGTATTTTACTGATATTAGTGCCATTTTCATTCAACACATGTACGTATTTATTTCTTAAAATTAGTTTTAAATAGTTAAAATTGTAAGTTGTAAAAGTAATTATCCAGAAGTAAGACTTGTATTTATGATTATAATTACATTTAAAGATTGACTAGACTAATTAGGGCCCCGCAAGGATTTGCGGGTGCCCTATAGTAACCACTCTGTCCGTCCATCCTTCTGTCTGTCTGTCCGTCTGTCTTGAAAACTTCTGTCCACAAATTTTCTGTTTTTTTCTAATAACTTTTTTATGGTTGCCCAATCAAGTTTAAATTTGGTATGGTAGTTCAATAGGCAGAAATACATATTTTGATGCTAAGTTTGATTCTCTATGTCTTCTAGTTTGGAGCTGGGGTGGTGGGGTAGATTCCTTAACTATGCATAAGTATGAATGGGCAACTTTTTTATGGTTGCCGGGCTTGCCCAATTAAGATCAAATTAGGTACGGTAGTTCAGTAGGCAAAAATACATATTTTGATGCTAAGTTTGGTTCTCTATGTCCCTTGGTTTGGAGCTGGGGTGGTGGGGTAGATTCCTTAACTTTATATAAGAATGCATTGGCAAAGAGAGATAACTGCTGAAGATGTTCCCATTCAGTAAACTGAATGCTGCTATGAGTCCCATGGGATTAATTAGCTTTCCTCCTGAAGAAAATCCAGAGCATTATCTTTATCTGTCACATTGAGATTAATAACTACCTCTGTCTGCAAATGAAGTTTGTTTTGAAGTTAAAACAATTTGGAATGCTATGAACACTCTGAAATGTGGATTTAAATATAAATTTTTATTATTTATTTTTGTTTGATAGTTATGATTTCATTGAATTCTAAAAAAAAAAAAATAGATTAAAGAAGATTTTTTGATTTACCAGGGTACTTTTTTTTCCCTTTTTCCTTTTTTTTTTAAATATATCAATTCAAGAATGTTTTTTTAATTTTTAATGTAGTTGTATAAAAACCCCATTCTGTCATTAATACTGAAAAAGTTCTTATTGTAAATTTAGAAGAAAATGATGAGAGAGGTACAATTAATCCCTTGGGATTAATTATCTAGCCTGCTGCAAAAAATTTAGTAGGCTTCTCTTTATCTGTCACTTTAAGATTAATGAAAACCTTTGTCTGCAACTGCAGTTTGTTTGAAGTTAAGGTCAAGCCTTCAGGATATTTGCATTCATTGAAGGCTGGCATTTTATATAACACAAGATTCATAATTGTTTAAATATACATTCAATGTTAAGTTGTTCTTTACTGCCTATTGTAAATACAAGAATATTATTTTCAGGTTTTTGAATATTCAGGAATTATGTTGAAATTTTAAGAATACAGTTGCTGTTGCTTTTTCTTTGTACATTTTTTAACCATCCTGTAAGCTGCACCTTTTTAATTCTACCCCATGGCGGGGCCCTTGCTGACTGGTCAGTTTTCTAGTTATGTTTTCCTTTACTTGCAATATTACCGTTTCCTGGTATTAGTCTAACCCCATATTTAATCATGGCGGTAAAAGTATCAACAAGACACGGGATCCTACCATTCATCACTACTTTTATGCTCTTTGCACTTGGATTTGGTAATAAAATTAAAGTATGACAGTTTTATTTTTTGTTAGCGATGTCGGCGACATTTATTTTATAATCGATTAGTAGCATAGAAGAGCTTGTAACGGTCGACAATCGATTGTCGCCGACAATCGTTCCATCACTATTTTTAAATTAGGAATATTAATATCATCTTATTGTCAGAAATGAATATAGAATAAGATATTGCTTTGGTCAATCAAAATGGCATATTTTTCACAATAAAACATTGTCTTAAATTTAATTCTAGGTTTTGACCCAAATAAACCACCTGTTTTTAAAGGAGATATTGTTAATGTACAAGATCCTGAGCCTAATCAGAAAATTAGAGGCAAAATTCCAGGTAAATGATACAGTGTCAAAAATACGGAAGTAAAACAGGCTTCACCATTGGAAGTCTCTACTTTAATGGAGTACACGTTCGCTTTCTGGACGAAATTGGAGAATTGCCAGACAAAACACCGGCTTATATGTTCAATCAAATTGAAATCCAAAGTCTTCCCCATGGGACATTTTTTGAAGCTGGTGATTCTGGAGCGTTTGTGTTTTGTATCAACCGAGACAAGACACTAAGCTGCCTAGGGATGGCTATAGGTTCGAGCACAAAGGGATCCTGTCTAGTGACACCAATGGTTAGAATCCTTGATTCTTTTGAACTCCCTCATAGATTAAAGCCGTGCTCTCCTTTTGTTTCTGGTGTGTCAGAAAATCATACAAGTTCACAGTCAGGAGATCAGAGTCGTATTCCAACAACAGCTAATTTGGAAGCGTTACTGTTGAATTTTCAAACAAACATACAAACGTCAATAGCAGATGTGCAAACGGCACTTGAAAGAAAATTTGAAAATTTGAGAACAGAAGTTCGAGAAGTTCGAGAATCGACCGAAAAAATACAAACAGAAGTAGAGAATCTGAAAACAAAAGTTGAAGATTTAGAGCCACCAAGACAAATTTAAACAGAAGTTGAAAACTCGAAAACACAAGTAAAATAAACAAGAAGGATACTTTTAAAACAGTGGTCTGCAAGCTCATCTGCCATCAGGAGAAATTAACAAGGGTGTCATAATTTAAATGTATGTTGTTTTGCTTTGCGGTATATATACCGTATATCAGGTTTTTTTTCCGTGTCATGTTTTTTTCCGCGAATCAGAACCCAAGTCAGTATATTAAATTTACGCCAATAAAATTTTCACTATTTCAAAGTCCCAGTGATTATATTATTCACAATTGTTTAAGCCTATAAAGGATTGGGATGTAAAATGTAAAGTCATTAAGCTCGAGTTACTTCACACGGATGAGAAATAGATTGATCGACCTTCACCTCGTCAATTTCGGAAAACCCGCTCAGCTGATAACTCACCTGTGTTGCATACTAACTTTAAAATTCACATATATTATTTTCTTTAATCTAAGCAATCATAGGTTCGACAACTAAAGGGTGTTGTTTTGTGACACCAATAGTTAGAATTGTAAATTCTTTTGGCCTTCCTCGTCGATTAAAGCCTTGTCCTGTCTTCGTTTCTAGGTATACCCCAGAGTGCCAGATAACCCTTTCAGTTCTCAAGTACCACAGCAAAGTGATGCTTTATCAGAAGTGAACTTATAAGCAATATATTATTGAATTTGAATGCGTCAATAATGAATATACAAACGCGAGTATGGAGTCATCCATTACAGATGTTCAGAATCAGCAAGCGTGTGTTCAAAATTCTTTAACTACCGTCCAGGAAGAAGTCAGCGCTTTGAAAAATGAAGTTAAAAAAATTACTGTAAACGTATTACATTTGGCTGTGTATTCTATTTAGCGCCTTTCGCGGAAAGCAGCCTCCGCTAAAACAAGTGCATCACTAAATGCTTTGTGTATAAAGGTTTATGTAAAGCACATTCAAAAAGCACTAAATCAAATCTACGCCAACTTGTTGAAAATTCAATTTACGCCAAATATCGTACACGCCAAATATAATACATTTACAGTATGAATAAATAACGTTTTGAGGAAAGTCAGCAATATTTCTGTTAGACTTGTGTTCTTGATATCATGAGTAATGTTTGCCAAAGAATTTTAGAAAAAAAAAATTAGATGGAAAATCTGATAAGAAATTATAAAGTATGTAAGATTCGCGTAGAAAACTAAAAAAAAATCCCAATATTCCATTTTTTTAAATCAATTTTTATATACTTTCTATTCATACATGTAGTCAGTAAAGATATGTATATTAATCAAGGTTTGAAGAAATTTCCCGATGTTTTGAATTCTGGCTTTTGCTGGAAATCTGTATTTACAATAAAGAATAAACATTCTTTAAGACTCATCTTTTCAAAAACCACTGTGCTTAAAAGATCAAACCACTAGGTAAGAAAGCTGACGATTTAGTATTTTCAATTTTTTTTTCTAGTGACCAATGGGTCAGAAAAAGGAAAGGTATGAAAATAACGAACGGTATTCAATAGCAAAGTCCGTAAAGCAATACAAAATAGGAGCAGAGGAAAAACGGATCTCTGAAACATCCATCCGCGTAATATATGAATCATGTCAAACACGGTTGGATTATTTTCTGGTTTTTTCTATTTTGCCTTCTACTTGGTTTTGCTTTTTAGTAAGAAGAACGGTCATTCGCTGAATATCCACATTATTCAAGATGCTTTCAACATTGACTGATTCTGGAGAATTTTTTAAAATCAAAAATGGAAAAATCATGTCCCATCGGCAACAATTTGTATCCAATGTTTAACAAAGGTAATTTTCAGTACCTCCGAGAAGAAAAAAATTGATCATTCTGATGAAGCATATAGTCTCTGAAATTATTTAGGTGTTTTACAAAAAAAATGATGATAAATAATCTCACCCATTATATACTTAATTATATCTTTACTATAAGACATTGTTTTTAATCTGAATCGTTAACATACTTTAAAATCTATTGCAATATTATAAAGCAAAGCATATCGATTTTTTTTACCTTGTATGTAATTTAAAGTTTTGTTTGATTAAAAAAACATTTTAAAATGATTCCAATGTATAACTCTGTAAATGCAAATAAAGATCAAGGACTGCTGTTTCTCCTTCCATTCAAATATAAATAAAGCTAAATGGGTCACATTCCGGTAGAGAGTGGGTCTCATTTGTATTTCAGACACGTAAGAAAATGCGGTTCTCTAGCTCATCCTTTCTTCATGTTATTTTTTTTTGATTTATCGATATTATTATTCAACTGTAAAGGAGTCTCGCAAGTAAAAAAAAATATTGTATCAGTTTCCTGTTTTGCTTGAAATGTTTAGTTTATCTTATTAAAAATTGTATTAATCATTGTCTATGAACCATTGTATTGTATATTAATTTAATGTATGTTGAATAAAATGGGATCATTGAGAATTTTTTATTTTTTTTTTAGAAAGAAAGCATTAATTTTAAATAAATAAAAAAAGTATATTAGAAAACTACTAATGTTCACAGGCTTCACAAACAACCCTCATATTTTTACTTCGATATATATATATAGGATCTCCCATGGTTTGTGGATTGATATGACTTTTATCCAACGAATTGTGTGTTTTATCCCCGAGCCTTGGCGAGGAAAATGAAAATTCACACAGAGTTGGCTAAAAATCATATCAAACCACAAATCATGAGTGATTCTATTTGTCACATATTTTCGTTCACTATAAGGCCAGGTAAAATTAATCTTTAGATTCTCATCCTTATTTGCTAAAAAATTGGGGCCGATGGGCGGATTTTTTTTTTTTTATTTTTTATAATTGTTAATTTATATATAGGCCTAAGTAACAACAAAACAATTGATGCCCCGTACACATTTTTTTCATTACCTTAATTTAATGCAAATATGAATAGATTTAATTCTTTTCATATTCTTTTAAATATTTAAAGAAAATTTTTGCTTTAAAAATTGAATATATATATATTTATTGTTAATTAACAAATTATCAAGTACACATTATACGGCACACCCTGAACAAAATGAGGTGGGGATACCAATAAATTGTGTATGCGTGATTTCTTATTTTGCAAAATCTATATAAATGTTCTAATAATTATTCTACTGAAAAATCTAGGCCTTCTCTTAAGTCTGTCTACGATGTTGTAGATTTTTTTTTATTTCAAAGCAAAGTCACACAGCTGGAGATCGTTATATATAACTTGACCAGGTGTCATTTTCTTCATCTATTCTTAGTTATAATCTCTCTACATACTTGCTCCTGCCAGTGATGGTATCTATAAATATGTGTTTATTCTATTTTTCTTCTCTGCCTTCTCTATACTGACAAATTATCTTTTCCTTAATCATTTAAACTGCTTTTATTGCCGATTTTTCTCCATTCTTCACTTGGGGTTTTTGCTATAAATAGCAACACGCGACTTTTAATACAGACGGGAGATAACTCTTAAACTTTGACCCAAATTCTTACTGAATAAAAATACATGAAAATACACAAAAATCAAAATTAAAAAAGTTTGGGCGGGACATTTTGTGAGGGGCGGGCGAGGATGAGAATCTAAAGATTAATTTTATATGGCCTAAACATGATAAATGTGTCTTTTGTTTTTATTTCTAATTCAAAGTTCCCTTTCGATTAACTTGGACCAAATAACGTAATAAATACTACTACGCTGTATGAAATAGCTCGTGCAAAAATGAAATAAAAATGTATTTCAGCATTTATTTTTTTTTTTAATTCATGAATGAAAATTTGTTAGAATATATCAAAGTGAATTTTGACATTCTCTCCACCATTCACATGTATTTGTTTATTTACATTACGTAACGCGGCGTAGGAATACAAAGTGTTGATACGAAAACGATATCACATGAGCTATTTCACCGGGATACAGGTGAACATATGTAATAAAAAAGTTTTAATGGTTTCAATAAACATATGTCAAGAACTATAATCTTTAATTGCTATAAATAAACAGAATGCACAAGTTGCTTATCTTTCTAACAAATGGGTACAGTCCACTAATTGTTTTCCCATAGGCAACAATGTTAACGTCTCTTCTCATAGCGATGTCCCTAATTTTCGTTCAGAAATGAGTGACCCCTCAAATCAAAGCACATCAACTTGTCTTTCCATGGTTAAAATCTCGAGGTGGCATGTCAGATTTCTTTCCCGGCAAAATGCTTCTGTCTGCGGGAAAAATCAAAGTGAAAGAAGGGGAATTTCAGAGTTCTGACTGGCATTATAACACACAAAATAATTCGGCTGATCTTCTTGATAAATTACATTTGCCAAGCTTTTTCGGTCAGAAAGATATCCTTATCAACAGGTGTGAGGCTCAGTTTTTTTAATTCAAGTCTGCAAATTAAGGAGCTTGTAATTTTTTCTGCACTACT